TTTGGCCTGTAAGAAAGAGAGAGAAAGTAACCGCAAGAAAAACAGGTCATCTAGTTTTTTTTTTTTTTTTATTTTGGGAAATCCTGATGAAATCCTGATTTTTGGTTGCTAAATCCTGATTTTATAATTTTTCCAAATCCTGATCAAACCTTGGTTATTTGCGGAGAAAAATTAAAATTTCTGCATAAGCATAAGCATAAGGCGAAAGCAGTCCGATCGGATATGACGGCCGACTTTTCTCAAATCCTGATTTTACGGGCGTTTGAGTTTAGCAGAGGTTCAGTCTTGGCCCGGAAGGCTAGAACATACAGAAAATCCTGCCGCAGATAATCAGTAAGCAGGAGCGTGTCACCGATGCGTATATTATGCTCTTAGCTCTGGTGGAAAAAGAAAGAACTTTAATTGCTTTCATGAATTAGCAATTTTTTAACAATACACATATTTTCGCCATGGCCTGGAGGTAACGCGTTCGCCTTCAGAGTTACCGATCTCCAGGTCGTGTCCTATTACATGAAAATTTTTGCCGTCAACATACTACACATGGTGTCATAAATGCCGCGAGTGGCCATAAAGGAATACTTTTTTCCATAAAATAAGAGCGAGGCGTGCATTTTGGCGCACGTAATTGAAAAGGGCTCATCTTGCAGAGAAACCTCTGGACCTAGGGTGTAGGGCCCCTATATAATACATAAGTGTTTAAGGGTATACACTATACAGGGACCCCAGAGCTAGACCCTAGACCCTAGGTTTAGAAACAAAATATCTGCCATTAGTTTTCTTATGCAGATAGGTGTTTTTATCCAAGAGCCAGAAATTACAGTTCCAAATTGCAAAATTCAGTCCATTTTTCCTTGGAAATTCTCAGGAGCTTCAGATGAAATTGCAAACAAAATTATCTATAAAATTGGACGGAAGTTCTTCATAAGTTTGCTGGAAAATTCGTGTTTTATCAAAGGAAATTTGGCGACGTCTGAAGGCTCATACGGCGTTTTTCCTTAGCACGGCAGTGGAAGTCTACTAAAGTGGGAAAATCGCCCTACCTACGCTTTCTTGAGCTTGTGCGTTCGGGTCTTGGGCTGACAGGGGGAGGGGGAAAGGATTAAGAAATGGGGATA